TTATTTTCAAAATAGCTTTGAAACGTTGACGTCAGTTCCGGTATAGAAGGGAAAGCAGTTGTGAACTTGTTAGTAAGTGCTTCCATAGGCTTCGTATAATTCCCGCTCTAACTTCAGGTAAGTACCATTCGTCAGAACTGGCAATTTTGCGATGGATCGGTAAAGCGGTGGCGCAGGTGTTTCAGACGCTGGAATTCTGTTCCTTGCGTGTTCATGATTTAGGACGATATCACATCCCGCTTTCAAGGCATTTGAAGTGGCATTTATATCATGGGCCTTTGGGTGGTCGGCAAATTAGCTCGCGACCCCGACTTTGCGCTGCCACTCTGCATGCGCTGGTTCGCAGATGTTTTAAAGGCCCTGGGTCTGATTATCTTTGAAGTGCTCGTGGAACAGGGTTGTTTTACATAAATGTAGCTTCTTCGTGAATTACTTATATAGTTTATACACGTATGCAGGCATATTTCTTAGAAGATGCACAATTATTGGAAATTAGTTTGTATAATAGCGGCAAAGACGGCCGAATTGCCTCCAGTTGCCTCTATGATATGTATTGAACTGCCCAAAATATGCACAGTAATAGTGCCGTAATTTGGAATGTTTATACTTTTTCCTGATATTTTTTCCCAGCCTTGGGTATTCGGAAAATACATAGTTTAGTCTGAATTGTCATTTCCAATTAAAAGAGACACCGTTACAGGTCTCCAAAAGCTTCCTCAGCCTCCAAACTCCCTACAGCTGGACTCTCTGACAACAGAGGAAAACATGATTAAAAGCAAGCATTCGATTGCCTGTCCAGTGGTAGATGCAGCACTAGTAGCAGAAAATGTGGATCCTATGAAGGGCGACAGTCAGCGTGAAAAAAACTTCTGGTATTTTAGCCTCAGGACAATTCGATTTAAGTAAAATCTCAATTTTAGCGCTTAAGGGACTAATAACGAGCTAAGCACCTTCGCTTACGTTTGTTATACATTACTTGAAGGTTGGCATAAGCAAATCCACAGATACAACCCGTGTAGTCCATTGCAATACTATCCGAATCCAGCAAAGGTCGAATGCGAGCAATGTATATAATAACTGTTCCTTGTTTTTTTACTTTGCCCCTGCACTTGGGCTGTCTTACTTGTGATTTTCTCCCCATGGCCCAGACTGTATTTAGCCTGTTGATCGAGCAGCATGCAGCTTTTCTGCTTCGGCGATCTTGTTTAAAAACAGAGATACAAAAAAAAATAGTACACGTAACCTGCCGATTCATTCAGACCATCAGCAGCATTTATTGTGCGAGATGTAAATCTATAGTGATGCTCCTGCAATTGTGGCCGTATTTCTTTATTTTCATATACCAGCTCCGATTCATGCGTTGCCTGCCCTGTCAACCATGCTTAAAATGTTGGTTGAGGCTTCGCCTGTAGCTACAGGCCATACCTCAATAAAGGCACATATAAAAATTTACACTTCCTACGAAAAACACGCCAAAAAACATTAAATAGAAAGGAGCGCGCCGAAAGCTAGCGTCGTCACAGCCTCTACAAAGCGAGCGGGGCGAGTCGGGGAAAAATTCTCTCCTCGCCTTGACGTCACCCCGGTTTGCCATAAGGGCATAAGGGGGCGCCACGCGAACTTCTCGGGGCTAGAGTAGAGCACTATATAGCTCCTACGGAGCAGAGTAGCGCAATCCTTTGAACTCCGTGTTTTGCCGACAACATGGCCGACAGAGCGGCTCGGTGCGAGTCACGTGGTACTCAGGGTTCCAGGAGGCGGCCCGCCCTATGGGAGAATACATGGAGATCGACATAACATGGCTGATTAAAAAACTAACGGCGAGTTCACATTTTTCAAAACTAGCCTGTCTTAAAGTTAGTAAAGCGCTAAACACTTTATCAAAGTTTTAATAATATCGGATGCGTGTGCAAATTTTGAGAAGGCAATTTCCAAGGCAATGGCGTTTGAAGCAGACGATTTTTGCTCGCAGCGGAGATGGGCTTTTCGGGTTGGCCGGAGCGGGTCACGTGAATGGTGTGACGTCGCCGTGTCGTCTGCTGCATGATGCCGCTCAGGCAATTTTTTAAAAAAAGTTACGTCCTTGTATGGCACAAAACTTATCGCATATTATTCTAAAATGTTTCATTATTATGTCAAAAATGATTTCCATTCCGCACATCCCCACAAAACTGAAGAAACGACGATTTTCTCACGTTCTCCATGCATTTCTGACCGCAGTTGGAACCTCCGGGCGTTCGCCGCTAGTCGCCGAGAGACGGCGTTCTAGATTGCGCTACTCTCGCTTGCGGAGCAGAGTACCGCAATGGTGCCATTCTGGAGCCAAGCACTGCGGGAAGCCAAGGTCGGTTTTTGCAGGGGACACGAAGGCGCAGACGCGAGGCGGCGTGCTGTGGCGTGCTGCGGCGCGCTGCGTAAGGAAAATAGTGCGGCTGACGAGAACGCCGTCCCCTCGCTTTCGGACGAGAGCTCGCCGACTCGCCGAGATGGCCGGATGTGCCGGTCGCGCATCGCGTGTCACTCCGCGAGAGCCGCAGTCGCGAGCTACGCGATCGTCGGCCGTGTCGTCTGCTTCCCATACCTTGGAAACGGATGTCCTAAAACATCGCTCGCGTTATAAAAAAAAACAGGATTGTATTGTACCCAGTTGACGCACATAATGTTCAATGACTTATTAAGCTTTCGGTTCGTTCGATTTTAGTCTAGGATCTATATCTTGCGAACTCAAAGCGGAAAATATGTTCCCCCCGAAACTCGGCGCTCTGGAAGGCCGCTTTCCCGCACCAAGGTCGGATCCAGTTCTGCCCACGTGCCCACTCCTCCGCCAATACGGAGATGGCGGCGAAAGGAAAAGGAACGCGATACTCTGGCTCTGCAAGCAGAGCCTATACAGTTACTCTACGCTACTCTGCTCCGAAGGAGCTATATAGTGCTCTAGGCTAGAGTAGCGCAGAGCCGTATATGGGGATAGTTTGGTCAGTCTATGATCTCGCCGCCGGAACGCTCTCCTCCTGAGTGAGCCAATCAGCACGCGGCGTAGAGCGAGAAGCGTGAGCGGATGCGCGTGAACTCCCGGCTGCTCCCACCTGAGTGGGGAGGGCCGCCATCTTCGATCATTTTCCCGGCGGAATGCGTGGGATCGGCATCTAAATCTCGATTATTGCCTTTTACATCGCTGGCTCTAGCAAGAAAATGACATTCTGTTATTCTTCGGTGGGTTAAAAAGCTAATAAATTAAGATTTTTCGGCCTATGGCCACAAACTTTCAAGCGAAAAAGTCGACCCGTAGCAGACGACGCGTAGCCTCAGAGCAGTGCTCTTCTCCGACCAGTCTCCCAAAGCGTTGCTAAAAAATGGCGGTCGTCTCCTCTCTGCTCCCTTCTTTATCTCTCGCTCCTTCGGAGCTCTCCTCCCTTTCATTTACTTTTCTCCTCTCCGGCGCCTTCGTCGCCACACCCACTGGCCAAACTCTCCCAATATACGGCTCTGGAGTAGCGCAATCTAGAACGCCGCCTCTCGGCGACTAGCGGCGAACGCCCGGAGGTTCCAACTGCGGTCAGAAATGCATGGAGAACGTGAGAAAATCGTTGTTTCTTCAGTATTGTGAGAATGTACGGAATCGCAATCGTTTTTGACATAATAATGAAACACTTTAGAATAATTTGCGCTAAGTTTTGTGCCCCGCAAGGACCTGGCTTTTTTTTTTTTTTTTAAATTGCCTGAGCGGCATCATGCAGCAAACGACACGGGAAGTCACACCATTCACGTGACCCACTCCGGCCAATACCACAACCCGAAAAGCCCATCTCCGCTGCGAGCAAAAATCGTTTGCTTCAAACGCCATTGCCTTGGAAATTGCCTTCTCAAAATTTGCACACGCATCCGATATTATTAAAACTTTGATAAAGTGTTTAGTGCTTTACTAACTTAACGGCAGACTAGTTTTGAAAAGTGTGAACTCGCCGTTCATTTTTTAATCGTCCGTGTTGTGTCGATCTCCATGTATTCTCCCATAGGGCGGGCCGCCTCCCGGAACCCTGAGTACCACGTGACTCGCGCCGAGCCGCTCTGTCGGCCATGTTGTCGGCAAAACACGGGGTTCAAAAGATTGCGCTACTCTGCTCCGTAGGAGCTATATAGTGCTCTAGGCTACCCTTCCGAATCTTCAGGTTCGGCTCCGAATCTCGATTCGGATGAAGATTCGTCCTAGAGCACTATATAGCTCCTACGGAGCAGAGTAGCGCAATCCTTTGAACTCCGTGTTTTGCCGACAACATGGCCGACAGAGCGGCTCGGCGCGAGTCACGTGGTACTCAGGGTTCCAGGAGGCGGCCCGCCCTATGGGAGAATACATGGAGATCGACACAACACGGCTGATTAAAAAATGAACGGCGAGTTCACACTTTTCAAAACTAGTCTGTCGTGAAGTTAGTAAAGCACTAAACACTTTATCAAAGTTTTAACAATATCGGATACGTGTGCAAATTTTGAGAAGGCAATTTCCAAGGCAATGGCGTTTGAAGCAGACGATTTTTGCTCGCAGCGGAGATGGGCTTTTCGGGTTGGCCGGAGCGGGTCACGTGAATGGTGTGACGTCGCCGTGTCGTCTGCTGCATGATGCCGCTCAGGCAATTTTTAAAAAAAAGTCAGGTCCTTGCGGGGCACAAAACTTAGCGCAAATTATTCTAAAGTGTTCCATTATTATGTCAAAAATGATTGCGATGCCGTACGTTCCCACAACACTGAAGAAACAACGATTTTCTCACGTTCTCCATGCATTTCTCACCGCAGTTGGAACCTCCTGGCGTTCGCCGCTAGTCGCCGAGAGGCGGCGTTCTAGATTGCGCTACTCTGCTCCGAAGGAGCTCTAATTCGTCCCATCCAGCTTCAAGCTCATGCCCACTAAGCACTAGATGGCGCAAAACACCACCCAACCTTAAATATTTGAATTTAAAGAGTAGAGTAACTCTAGGCAGCGTCACTGAGCAGAGCTATCTTTCCATTCATCGGTTCCACTTTGTTTACATCGAGCGCGTGTTTTCGTCGGGGGCGCTAGGTTTTACACTGACCTTTAACGCAGGATGAAAGTTCTGCGATGCTTACGAAGGCTTGCTTCCAAACCGATACTGCAAGAAAGATCATTGCATCTCAGCCCCTGTTCGTACAGCAAACTGAAAAGGTTGAACCTCTTCAAATATTCGCCAGGAGCAATTCCGTCCGTGCTAGAACATGCAAGGGTTCATCTTTAAGACGCGCATGTTTTCGTGTAACAATTAATTGCGGTCATTTTGTTCTACTTCATTGCCAATTCAAATGTATTTTGTTTTCTCGTTCTATCTTTGTATTTAGGAAACTGAAGGACTGGGAAGGCGTCGTTGGTCTCGAAGTTCACGTCCAGATAGCTTCCGAGTCCAAGCTGTTCTCGGCCTCCCCTTACTCCTTCGGCGCACCTCCGAATAGCCAAGTGTCCCCGTTTGACGCTTCAGTTCCCGGCACGTTACCCGTAAGTTCGTTACACACCGCTGGGCTGAACTACGGTGCCGGAACCCGTTTTCCAACCGGTGTGTTTAGCGTCCTTCCCCCCTCCCCCCTTCTCCCCCACTTTCTCAGATGGCCCGCAAAATGCGGTTTTTTTCAGCGTATTGCGTTGTAATTTACTACAGAGGTGAAAGCAGGTGACGGACGTCTAAAGTGAAAAAAAAAATCAAGGAATGAACTTGCCTCGTTCAAAAGGGAATAAAACATTACCGGAATCTCTTGTAACAATAATTGACCATATGTTTTGTTTTCAACAGAGCTCACTCAACATGCATTTTCTCACTAGAACGTTGCAAATAATCATTAAAGGCAAACGGTGTTTGCCTTCAATATATATACAATAGATGATACATACAGATGTGCTTATATGTAACCCTCCTTATGTAATGCCCCACTTTGGCCCTTAAAGGGGTACGGAAACAAAAATTGAAATATTCAGATTTCGTTCGGAAATGAGTCAAGCATGACGTATAATAACCGTAAATGATAATCGCGCGTTTGTATTTTGAACGATTGGCCATATTTTTCGTTCCAAATGGTGCACTCGAGCAAGCGCTCGAAGAGAAGTGAACGGAGAGCGCGATGCGTCAATGGATATCCGGCGCAAACAAAAACAGAAAAAAAATATTTCCCGCGTTCGTGGAGTAGCAAGGCAGGCGTGGTTATGAGCTTTGTCCTTGCTGGCGTTGTCAGCGTTGTGATGGTGTCAATAGCGTCAGCGCGTTATAACCGAGCCGCTCGAAGTGCCCGTGGGGTGACGAGCGTGTGGCTGGCCCAAGGAGCACGTAGCTTCCACAACACTGTCAGCTTAGGGCTGAACGAGGTCGGGAAAGCAACTTTTGTTCGAGTTTTGAACGACGTGCTAATCTTCTAGGGGGAGAATGGCTATGTCCGGTTGCACGAACGAGGGTCCGAGAAAGAGGGGAGTCCTTCCTTTCCGTCTTCTTGAATCGTTTGGTACAATGCGCGACTTGTGAGTTGAGGAGGAAAGCTAAGAAGAGAAATGTTGAAATACCAAAGAGCGGCGCTGCTCCGAAGGAAACTGCTACATCACGACTACGTAGCAGTTTCCACAACGTTGCTAGACTACCTCCCAAATAGGCTCCGCATGCATCCACCAGGTGCACATTGAAGATCGTTTATTTAACTTTAAAATTAGTTTTCTTGTGCTTTTCAACAGAAGACTGGTGTTTTTGAGGTTAGGGTGCAACATAAAACACATTAAAGCCAGAAAATGAGTGCTGAAATTTCGTTTCCCTAACCCTTTAAAGGGGTTATGACACGAAAATTAAACGGATAGATTATTCTTGAAATGGAATGCTCATAGGCTACTTAGTATATACACCAAGTTACGCAATTTTTAGAGCTCTGATAATTGCAATATTCAATTTACGAATTTTTATAATTTTCATCTGGCGACCAGGCAACACTGCTCAAGTTAGTCACACCATGGTGTCCATAAACCACGTGACCATGAACACTCTCTCATTCTAGGCGCCCCCATAATCGCCCAAGCTCTTCTCGTCCTGGTACGAACAAAACCGCTCAGACAGCTCGGTAAATTGAAAGCTATTCTCGCTCTCGCCCCCCGGCCGGTTGACCTTCCATCTTCCATGCGCCTGCGATATATTCCTGGACGACGGTGACCACGGCGAACTCGTCGTCGCTGGAGCTCGTCGCCAGCGGGTCGCAGTCAAAATGAACAGCTTCCAACATCTTTTGATAGCAATCACTCTCATCGCTGCTGCGATCAATGTCGAACACTTCGACAAGGTGATCGATGCCGTAGACGTAATCGTCACAGACCAGATGCTGGAAACGTGGAAGGTAATTGAGGAAGCTGAGAGTTGATGTGCCAAGAGAGCCGAGTCTGTGAGTGCGTGCAAGTAGAAACTGCGCTGGAGGCTGGCTACGTCATCAGCCTCCAGGTCCGCCCGGATCTGCCCCTCCGAGGGGCCCGCATATAAATCGATTTATCCACGAAATTATCGCGCCTTTTTTCAAACAAATTTAGCAGGATTATAGGAACATACAATGGGTCCTAGCAGTATAGTTATGTAATATTTTATTTTTTTACGTTTATTATACCTTTAAGGTATAATAAACGAAATTGAATTAAATGAAATTAAGTAGGTTGAGATGCTGGAAATCGATTTTTGCAAACTGCAGAAGCTTATTGGCTTGCTGACCTTGCTTGGGGACTAAGCAGCGGTGATGCTGTGCAATGGTTATGTAAATAAGTCAAGATTGGTGGTGAGGGCGAGGACGAGGAAACTGGTGGAGCCATTCTTAGAGGTGAAAGATGGACTGTCACAGAGTTGTGTGAGCCCAGGTGCTTCCAGTATATCTAATAATAGGTTGTCGGGTAGGCTGGAAGGGAGGGGAGTATCGGGGTCAGTCCAGTTGATGTGGCTGTTAAAATTGCCAAATAGAAACATTGCAGAAAATTTCTTGTGGTCGATGCGGAGTAGGTTGTCGTGGAGGACAGCGTAGGAATTTTTACGGAGGGAGTGCGGGCAGTAAACACATGCCAGTAGGCGTTTTCCACGCTTGCAAAAGACTTCAACAAACATGGCTTCAAGACCTGGCACAGTGAGATGATCGAGACGTCGGCAGGGCAAGTGCTTTGGCGAGGAGAATGCCGCCCCCAGTTGAGGGGCAGTCTTGCCAAAAGAGAGAAAATTGTGCAAGGTTAATTAGGTTCTCCGTCAAACACAAAGGTGTGTAGCCACATTTCACGCACAGCAAATATGGTGTTGGGGAAAGACGACGCCTGTGCATTGAAGTCAAGCAGTTTGTTATTTGCAGAGCACACATTAAAAAGGAACATACAGATATCCCGTTTGAATGCGCGAAAGCTCCGCAGTCAGCAGGAGTGTCGAGTGAATGATCCATCGTAGGTAAACCAAATGGTTGCTTGGAAAGGTTACTGGTGACAGAGAGGGCTGTAGGAGTTCCATGGTGTTTGGGTGAGAACAAGTCATTAGGCACGCGTGGGAGTTTTTCACGCCGCACAGAACCCCTGTGTTGATGAGGAAAAAAGGCGTCTACCGTATATGAAGCAAGAGACACATTTTCACATTTGCGATGGAGCCAGAAGTCGCAGCAGTCTCCCTACAGAGTGGCGACATTATCGTACACAGGCCGAGAGCAGTGAGGGCAGGCGGGACGTGGGCCAGGGTTGGGAGGTGCATCACCGGCGATGAGTAGAAGCAGAAGTTGGGCTTTAAGGCAGGGGCGGCCTGCGGAATACCGCCGGCCACTAGGTCGAGCGCCAGTTTGCCACAGCAGGTCGTCTCCGTGAGCGGCTACGTTGGACAGAGAATCCGCAGTTCAAGAGCACTTTATCTGATTCTTGCACTATGTCGAGGAGAGACTACACTTTTTGCGTAGAACCAATAGGCCCATTATGCATAGTAGGAAATGGAGAATAGTGAAGGCAGGGGGGCATGCCGCCATGACAGCCGGTCTCGATCTTACAGTCTGGTAGCAGAAACCACAACAGAAGTCTCACCTCGTGCCGACAAAGAAACTTGCTCTAGGGTCTGAAAACATCATTTTGCTGGTAGATAGAGGACATTACAATAAGGTTTGAAGGTGGAATATACAGAGCAATGAAAATGGTTGTTTGGATTCCCCCTTCTTGTTCCGCACGAGCAGAGACTGGTGCGAATGAAGAAGAAGGATCCAAACGACCATTTTAATCGCTCTGTACTTCTCATGCATGAGCAGAGACTCGTGCGGAAGAACGAGTCTCTTTTTGAACGAGGGAAGCTCATTGTTTGATTTTTTCACTGTGAACTTTCACCACCTGCTTGCATCTCTGTAATAAATTGCAGTGCAATACGTTTGGAAATCAAAATTTGTGGGCCATCTAAAGTTCCTTAGAAGCGTTGGTTTACACACTGTACATCAAAAGTGGCCCCGAAGTTGCAACATATGACGTCGCAGAAGCCGGCGTGTGTCGGGATGTCGCCATCCTGGCAGGTGCTGGAAGTCCGGGCAAAAGTAAAAAAGTCACTGTCATTGTGGGTTCTCGACTCCTGTCTGCGGGAATTTCTTTGGACCGTCGAGCTGGACTGCGACCTGTATTAGAACAGGCTTCTGCCATATCCACCCCTACTGCTGTTGCATCGCAAGGGCCACGGCCAGCGACAGCATGACGCTTCTGTGTGGTCGTTGGGCGGAAGTCGAGGGATCACTTTTTAGGGTGCGGTGAACACATCGGTTGGGCACACGTTCCAGACACCATAGTTGAACAGTGAGAAGCATCTCTTTCCAAGCGGTATACCGCACCTTATGATGAATTGCATATGACACTACGAGCCATTAAAGCCGATCTAGTAGCTCGTGAGCTTAAGTAACCTCTGGGAGGTTACTGATGTGCTGGGTGCCTAGTTACCTGATACGTTGGCAGCACTGAATGGCCAGGTTGGCTCGCAGCATTCGCTACGGTTCATTGTATGGGTCAACGAAGTAAAGGCTCGCACAAGTCGCATGCTGCTGAGCCTTATTCGTTCCTAGGGTAAAAGTTGAATATCAACAGATAAACAATGTACGAGTCGCCACGGTGCCTTTCTATCGTGCATTAGTGACACTCTGATACTTTCGTAATAAAAGTTACTGCTCTCTTGCAGTCACATTCTTTTATAGCCAGTTGCTGATGCTGAGGCATAAGCACGGTTGCTAACAGGTCGCCGTCCAGTGGTATCAATACTACGTGATGCACAATAAAGACCTCGGGCAAGCAGCTGTACTGCACAGGCTTAATTTCTTACCTGCAGCAATAGCATCCCAACTCCGCTGCGTAAGAACGGGGGCTGCTTAGTAGTTGGAAACTGTGTGTTAGTAGAATAGTCTACTAGGCACGGAGTCATTTTAAAGTGCTGCTCTTTTATAAACCTTCTCAAGTGCTATCACACCTTCATTCTGTTTGGTGGACTGTCTAAGTCAAACAATTTTTTACAGGAACTACTGGTACACCTTGAAACTTCATGGGGTAATGGGCTTTCATGAAGATTTAAATTTGACACGTGCAAGCACCAATCTTGAGGACTCTTTACAGCCTGCCTCCCTGTTTATGCCACGCTACATGACGTCCCTAACTTACTTAGAGTCGTTTAAATAAGTAAACAAGGGCCAGACCTACCAAACGTTCCAATGTTAGCTGCATTTTGCGTAAATCATTCTGCAGCACTACTAATATTATTTTTGTTTTGCTTCTCAAGGTTTTGAACAGGAGGTGTGTAGAAGCTGCTGTTCTCACGGCCTTGGCCCTCAACTGCAAAGTCAACGCCGTGTCGCACTTTGATAGAAAGCATTACTTCTATGCAGACATGCCGGTAAGACCGCCTTCTTTTTCAACCATTGTGTGCGTCAATTCCTCGAATGTTTTTTTAGACATTCTCCCATTTTAATTCAGGATGTGTTTTATCAGCCGATTTCCGGGGAGTTTTTTAAAGTTTGGCTGTTGCAAAATACCGACACTGAAAAGTGTTACGCCCATAGAGGACCCTATAAGATGCATAGCGAATTGCTGGGCGATTGTGTTGCACGTGAAATGTCTACGCTCTCAGCGCTCATCATCGGTTAGTTTAGCGACTGGCTTAACGCGTGGCATGTACACTCGATAGCAATTCCTGGAATGGAGATACCGGCACTAACCCAGGTTTTAAAACTAGTGGCAGGGTGTCAAGTTGCTATCTGCCGGATGCAAAGTGGATGCTCCACGGGAATTTCTCGCCAAGAAGCACCTCTTTTTACGGCGATGTGTCGTGACATGCTGGAAAGACATTCGCTTAATGATCTAAATGGTCTGGGTTTGATTCCCACCTGGCGTGAATGCTTTTTTATGGCGACGGCCTCTTCCTCCCACTCAAAATGGGGTCGGTGTCTGAAATACGGGGTCTAACATCATCACCTGGCTCAGCCAATCACATCGAGGTAATCGACGGTTGTGGGAAAGCTAGTACGTCCTAGGACTAGATACGCAAAAATAAGCAGCCCACAAACGTATGTGTTGATAGTCGAGAAACCACGTGCCCGTGTCCCTCCTTCCTACTGTTTTCGCATAGATCTGAGTTTGAATCCTTTTGGGTTGATGTTCTTCTTGCTTCTCTTTTATGTTTTATTGTAATTCCAATCAACAATATGGTTCCACAACTGCATTCCACAATGAATGCGAGCCGTGGCAGGACAAGCAGCCTGATTACGATGGTTGACAGACGACCTAAGGTTTGGATATGTTTGAAACCAGAACTATCCCAATCAGGTGATGTAGCGGCGTCCAGCTAATACGGAAATGCCAATAAATAACCCAATCTTTTTATTCCTCCCAATTTATTATTTGAAGATGAAATAAAATCAAACATCTGTTCAACCTTTTTACATACTTACGTGTTGCTCATGTTGCCGTGAGGTGTCGCAAGGTCGTTTAAAAAAAATAAAAACAAAAAAATATTTTTAGATGTTGTTGTAAAATGCAGATGATATATGTCGCCGTAACACTAAGGAATCAACGTCTTTGTGGTTTAATGAATACAAGAAAATTAAAGTCTGGCAGATGCATTTTCTTTTTATGACTCCTTTAAGAGGAACAAGCTCATTTCTGGTGTTGAGTCAGGTTGGCTTTTGGATATGATCACACTCGTCATGAACCGAATGTAAGGGTGCAATGGGCAAGGCGGCAGCGTGCTTGTCACGAGGCTTAAACAGTATTTGCTCTTCATTCAGGTACTCGCCTGTGTGGGACCACGGAACGTCGACAATAAGCCAGCTTTGTAATGTCATGAATGTAACCGTTCCTACAATGGTCCTGAACAAGGACCAGTAGTACAAATAAATAAATAAACAAGAAATAAACAAGCTGGTGAATATTGTCACGAATGATGAGGTGACGAAACAAAGAATAACTGAGGAAACTGAAACGTTTAATGAGGCAAACTTGTGCCCAAAACAACAAAGAAAACGGGAGATAACAACAGAGCGTCGCGGGCGTCGAAGTCGGCGTAACAGCACAATCAAACGCTGGGGCGAGACTGACTGCGGCTCGACACACGGAGCACCTTTTGTATTCGCGTGTGTGTCTGGAACATTCGGCGTAGAAAGTTCGGCACGTAGAACATTCTACCCTTGAATCAGCAACACGGTTTTCGAATTTACCAGAACATCACATTAGAGTCAACAAAAATGTGTACTCGCGCCCATGCATTGAACCTTGGCTTTCTGCGTGGAAAGCAAGCACGCTAACCGTTAGGCCACGAGTGCGCTGCCTACTTGGTCAGCTACACGCGTGGCAATATTAAGCATGACAAAAACCCCGAGACTGTGGGTAAAAATGACGTATACACTAGAAAGTCTCGAACACAGCTGAAGAATTTACTTTTCAAAAAGTGCTTAAATAGGCATCGAGGCGAAGCGATACTGGAATAGAAAAAGTAAAAACCCTCCCTCCACAACTGAATACTAAGGGGTCACCATAAGAATGCAAAAGACATTGTGACCACTATCTCCTCTTCTACCTCTAACACTAAACGAACACTACAACCGGTGTAGAATTAGGTTGTAGCGTCTGCTTAGCAAGAGTTTTAGAGGTAGGAGAGCAGGTGGCTGTTGCAATGTCTTTTGGATTCTTATGGTGACCTCTTAGGCTTTAGTTGTAGAGGGAGGCTTTCTTTTTTTGCTTTTTCTCTTTCTGGTTTGTTTGGCCTCGGTAGCACTTTTTGAAAAATAAATTTTTCAGCCATGTCTGAGATCTTCTGTGTACAGTATGTGTAATTTTTACCTGCAGTTTCGACGTTTCTGCCATGCTTAACACTCATCAGTTTGATAGTATGTTGCAATGAGCATTGCTGAATGATCTATATTTTTCTAGCAAGATATAGAAAACTCGCTGATTGATCTGTGCTGTATTCTTTGTTCTTCAGGCTGGTTATCAGATAACTCAGCAGCGGTCACCACTGGCTACCGGAGGTCACCTGGACTTTGTGGTTTTTGCTCCGGGATCACAGGAGACGTATTTCAAACGAGCAACGCTGCAGCAGCTTCAGCTTGAGCAAGACAGCGGGAAGAGCTTGCACGACGCAGAACGCAACCGTAGCCTCATCGACCTCAACCGTGCAGGTAAATGGTTGACTACTCTTCAAACTGGCAGTCTTCGAGTTCAGTTTCCGCGAGAGAGAGAAATCCTAAAACCTTATACGTCCACAAGCGTATGATTTTCAAAAAGTATGTGTGTTTTTGTATTCTTGGTATTCTAGTGGGAATAATTGTACAATTGGATGTTACTGCAGTAATCATATCTCAAAGACAGATGTTATTGCAGTAATCATATCCCGAAGACAGGATGTCCTGCTTAGTATGCCTTTAGTGACACAACTGTTCCCATTCTGTTTTGTGTGGAGCATTCGAAAGAATGCAGTTTGTCTCCCACTCAAAATGAAGTAAGTTGCCAGCTGAGCATAGCTGTTGTTTCGGTTATATGGTTGAATGCTCTCTAAGCCTTGCTTGGTATCTAGAAGTTGTTGGCTATGCTTTGGGAACAGTGAACTTTATAGGTGGATCACACCAGTAGAAAACAAGTGAGTATCAATGCTCGGAGACAACCTGCTGTGGCTATGTGCTGGCATGTGCTTGAATGCAGATTAAGGCTTGCGCGTGTGCACACCTCCTCTCGTTGAAAGTGCCACAGAAAGTTCTCCCAATTACTTATACTTACTGATCTCTGCACAGTTGTGATTGCAGTGGGCTTTAGGGTATTAATGTCCTTTCTACCCGAGAGTTTCTTTGTCAAGCCCCAGTATGCAAGGGTGTGTTGTGCAAAAAGGGGTTTGTCTTGTATCTTGCACATCCTCAAAACAGATCACTTCAATATACAAATATCAGCGAGCTTCAACATATACTTCAATTATTTACGGCTTTTTGTACGGGTATTGTTTTTTAACTGCCATTGGTAGTACCAGTCTGAAGCCTGGGACCGGAAATCGGTATTTTCTACTCAAGCATCCTTTAATCATTTCAGGAGTTGGATTGATGGAGCTTGTTTTCGACGCCTGCTTACAAGACGGCGAAGAGGCGGCCAGCCTTGTGAAGGAACTGCAGCTCATCTTGCGTTCCCTGGGCGTATGCAGCTGTAAGATGGAGGGTGCGTTGGCATGACCTTAAAACATTTGATTTCTCAAGCACAAACTGAGGATGGAAGCAAGCTGATGTAGGCCAAGCATAGCTAGAAACATGACGGTAAGCCCTGAGACAACTGGAAAACAGTGCAAACAACAGGAACAGAAACAACTCCCTGTAACACCGAATTTGAGCGCAGCTCTTGAGGAGGAAGAGGAAAGGGTACTGAGGGTCACCTGTTCGCGGGGGGGGGGAGGGGGGAGTCGGGTCACGTGACCTGGGGGGTGTCACGTGACCCTCCAGAGAAATTTTTACGCTAGATTTAGCGGGGAAATTTTTCCTCTAGATTTAGCGGGGAAATTTTTCCTCTAGATTTAGCGGGAAAAATTTTCTGCTAGATTTAACGGTGAAAATTTTACGCTAGATTTAGCGGGAAAATTTTTCCGCTATATTTAGCGGGGAAATTTTTCCGCTAGATTTAGCGGGCAATTTACCCATAATGCACCGCGCAGTTACGCCGACGGCGACGCCACTCAAGCTGGAAACGGACGCCCAAGAGCTGCACTGTAAAAACAAAATTGCAACTCTTAATCACTAAATTATGTTCACTATACACCAGATCACGTATACCTCAGTCATTTTTTCACTAATAACTAAAAGACATAGGACTGCAGTCACAGGATTAGTAATGGATCTCTTGGACTTTGTACCGCAGTTTCTGGCTTTCCGCTATTACTACAGTCACTGAGAGGATAAGAACAGCGAGGTGTCTCTATGCACCGAGAAACTGAGAAAGGGGAGGAGACGAGGGCGCACGAGTGCGTCAGAATGCCAAGCTCTGGTTCGAATGGTTAGTGAGAAGAACTATAGCTGCCTTTGTTTCCACTGCACTTGTCAAACACGTTAGAATGCCGGTGTCAGGCTTTTTGTTTTTTACATTCGACTGCTTTCAACAATGGCAGTGGAGACAGAGGCAGCCTTTGTCTTCATTGAGTGCGTCAAACGCGTTAGAACGCAAAATGCCAGCGTCCGGCGTTTGGCTTTCGTGTTCGAACGTGCTGACCAGTGCTGTGGAAACAAAGGCAGCTTTAGTTTTACCCACTAACCATCCGAACCAGAGCTCGGCGTTCTGATGTCCCCGCGCACTCTCGTCTCCTCCTCTTCCTCAGTTTCTCGGCTCATTGAATGGCCGGCTTCCAGCATGCGCTCGTTGCCCTCTACTGTGCATCGTCTGCCCGTGCACACTGGAGGCTTACAAGACGCTGAAGCATTATCGAAGTTAAGAAACTTGCACCGGACAACCTGTCAGTGTCTGTATGCTTATCACTCTTCTTGCAAGCGTCTACTTGTGGCAATAAACACTTGGGCAACATTGAAAAGCTCGTTGAGTAAACTTATTGAATGATGGACACTTGCAAGAAGCCGACACTATAAAATGTGATCAAGTTTTTCTCGAGGCTGGTCCACACACTTGCGATTGAGAGTGATCAACTGCGTTGGAACCAGGGCCGTACCCAGAAAAAAATTTCGGGGGGGGGTTTTCGGGGACAACGGTGGCCATTTTGTCTTATTTTCGCCTATGAATCATGTGCATCGGTGGCATATAATGGAGAGTTATAGCAAACCGAAGAACCGGTCCCGGTTCGGTATCCGGTAGCCGACCGGTGCCACTGCTCGTGCGCAGAGGTGGAGATTAAAATCGGCTGGCTGTAAGTGCACCGACCAGGGCCGTACCCAGAAAAAAATTTCGGGGGGGTCGGAACCCCCTAACCCCCGCCCTGGTTACGGCCCTGGTTGGAACCGCTCTTGACCGCCTACGACGAAAGAACAGGCTGGCGCCATCTATCGGGTAATGCTGGAATGCTTACGATCTACATATGTATTACGCGTCGTTCTTTCACCGTGCAAATTAAATTATCCTCATAGTAAGTAGGGTTCCGTGTTTTCCAATAAATCCGAAGAACTGGGACCAGCACTCGCCGATAAAATTGTCGTCAGTTTGGATTTATGCGAAAAATTCGGAATCTCGAGGTCACAGTGACAAAATAAAAAGCAAAAAGGACAGTGTTTTACGAATAAATTGCTCGAAATTAGAGGGACGGTGATCCCGAGAAGAGGAAAATCAGTTTTCTTTGAAATATTGGAGGCATATCTCATCAAGGTTCATTCAGAGCAACGGGTCATTGTATTTGTGGTTTACGACAAAAGCCTCTGTTTTGATTTCTAGTCTGGAGCATACTATTTTAGGTTCTGAGAGGGAGGGAGGGGTTGTGTTTTGATAGCAGTGAAGGCTATGAATTTGTAGATTTCATAGGAGGGTTGTGGGGCAACTGGTGCTTCCTTGCTTCCCAGCGGCCACGTCCAGGTGTCCAAAGTATTGACATTGATTGAAACAACAGTTCTTTGCAAGATTTGTCGTGGGACCGTTGTATTGCCAGTGGCAAAAGCTTCGACACCAAATGTATCTGTAGACATGTCATTCTGTATGGGTGAGTCCTTATGAAATCTGTGTGTTTGTGTCCAAATATTATTTTTGTTTCAAATACCAAAAAATTGGAAACACTAAAATTACTCTCCTAGTTTAAAAATTGGAAATAATAAAAAACAACTCTGGTCAACCCAATGTTTTTGACGAGAGATATACTGTAACGTCCTGAGCGATAGCCCTCCTATCATTGATAGCAAATCGAAGGAAAACAAGGCATGGCTAATTTTCCGTGTGCCATAAAACAAACTTGAAAGAACGGTAGTTTTAGATATTGTGACCCTCGAAACTCGTGATTGCGGGAAGGGGCAACGAATCAAAAACAACTGTCCTTTCCTGTTGGCATTGTTTGCTTATCTCCCAGCATAACTAACACCGTTTTTGCCCAGGTTGCCATTGGCCTGGGCCCTGCAATTACTAGAAGTAAACCATCTATTGGTGCCTTTTTTAAAAAATATCATATGGTAGTCAAAAAAAAAAAAAACTCCGAATGGAATGAAGGTCAATTCCGAAAACATGAAATCCTAATTGTAAATGACCATTTCTCATCAATAGTGCATAGATGTAAGCTCGCAAATACTACAAAACTTTTGTCTGGTTATGTCCAGATCGGTAGTGCTTTGGGACCGCCTGACAGACGGCATGAGTTTGTCCTCTCTTCACGACCAGTATAGTGCAGTTGATCAGACTCAAACTTGATCAGACTCAAACCCAGACTTCGCTGTTCTCTGCAGAAGGGGCACTGCGGGTGGATGCCAACGTGTCGGTGAATCGTCCCGGAGAGCCTCGGGGAACCAGGACCGAAGTGAAGAATCTGAACAGTCTGCGGTCCGTCGCTTATGCCGTAGGTGGGGTGCTAGTTCCTCCCGTCATCCTCTCGTAGCCGTTTCTAACGCGTGTACGCTTTGTGACATGCTTTCTCTATAGCCAACAAGTTATCAAACCTTTTGACCTTGAGAAATCCCCCCATCTTGGCGTTGGTGCAGTAGACCAGGGCAGAAGCCTACAGGCCCTGTAAACAACAATGTGCACAATGGTTTGCACTTACAGTTATGCATCACTTAAGGGGGGATATGGCCTGGGAGGGTCAACTTTTGAACCCTTCACCCAATTTGGTTCAAATTTTGAGGGTTATTTCAGCACTATGAGGAAGGATAATCTGCAAAGTTTTAGCATTATTGGTCAACTTTACAGCATGCTACGGTTCTCGCACTTCAGAAAAAAGACACTTCATTAGGAAGTCTATCGTAGAAAAATAAAATTAGCTGGTGGCAAACTTTTTGCTTTAATGTGAAGAACAATACCCACAGTGCAACCTAGATAAAAAATAAATTGCAAAATATTCAATTATAACAAAAATAAGAACATCCCAAAATTTAAAAAAAAAATGTAAATTTTTTGTTTCACAAAAAAATTTTTTTTTTCATGAAGGAGTAGATTTTTTGAACTGTGAAGTAATCTATCTTGTTCCCCAGAAAATTTCAGTCCCAGAAAACCTTGAATGATGTCCCTCTCTATTCAGAATGTCAAATGATAGCTTTCCTAAAACAAGAATTCCTGCCAAAAAGTGAAACTGAGAAAAATGCGTTTGAAGTTTCAACTTGTTTTTTTTTTTATTTTCGGACGGTGCCAGAAACTCGAAATTTACCCGAGTCATTGGTGGCACCTTCAACTTCATGAGCATGAGGAGGGCAGTTGCTTTGAGGCCCCCGAAGAGATTCGTGAGCTTTGTGAAACTGATGCCAGAGTCTCTTCCAACGATGCCTAGACGTACCGCGAGTTCGTTCTCTCGAAACTTGCCGATTGATGGTGAGTGCGGTGTCGCGACGATGTCTCCGCAAGTCGAGCAGCTAACAACAAACTAAACGTTGATGTCAACTTCTTGCAAGCTCAGTAGTTTTCCGTGGCACTTGAGGCAGAGTAAAATCGCAACAAGAGTCTGCATGGCGGACACATTGAGGAGCCGTTCAGGGGCTTTTCAACGGGAGCGTCTGTCAGCTCCGGGTCGTCCGTAATCCCCGCGTCGAAATCGCGCAGGCTGAGCTTCCTCTCGAACGTGGTGAGCACATCCGATTCGGAGATGAAGCTGTAGGCTCCGATGTCCGCCAAGCACCAGTTGAGCTTGGAGATCGTGACGACGGTGGCGGAGACGGCGACGATGGTGCCGGCGGAGACGGGTCCCCGTCTCCGCCGGCCCTTTGTTTCCGCCGTTGAGAACGCTGGCCAAAGCTACTGCGAGTGCTAACTTTGGAAGCAGGCATTTCTCGGCTGAAAAACTACCGGGAACAAAGAGGGAAAACGAATCTAAACAGCGGCAAACTGGCGATACGATCAGAAGCGATACGATCAGAAGCGAAAGAAGCTGCCGATAGCGCACGCAGGCGGCCAATCGTGAGCCCTGTTTCGGGTCACAACCAATGGGATTGCTGGTATCATAGTTCCCACGTTTTTTCTGCTTGTATGTACGGGGTTCTCCCGGGACACAGATAGCCTCAAACGTAGCAAGCTTCTATGGGCAGAAACTAGAAGAAACGGCGCTTCCAACGAGGGTAAGATATCTCGGCTGCGTCGAACGAGCGCGGAGTAGGCCTAATTTGAAAATGCCGAACTTCGCCGTCTGCTTGCTCGGCGGGTCGCGAGCTTGCCGAAAATAATTTTTTGCGAAATAAATACTGCGCATTTATAAATAAAACTTTCTGAAACTATGCTTCAGAACATAGTGAACCCAAATATAATATTTTTTGAAAATGCATTTTTTCGGAAAAAAATGGAATTTCGTGGCCGTATCGCTCAGAACCGCTTTTTCTTGCTTTCAAATGTCTTCAAACAAAGACCAAAGGAGTGAGCGGCCTTAGCGCTCCGCTGCCCGGTCATAAACGTGACGTCTCGGCCGTCCCAATTGCCACGAGGGCACCAGGGAGGGTTAAGAAGTGCTGAGATAGAAACTATGGGTTTAGGGATAACTACAATAGAACCTCTTTATAGTGAACCTGGTGGGACCAGGCGGTAGTTTTACTACCGGGTGATTCAAGGAGATGGCAGGCTCTTTAAATCGACCGGAAAATTCGGTTTCCTAACCTATCGCGCTGAGACTTTGTGCAGCGTTGCCCACAGACGGTGCATTTTTTTTGTAAAATTTGCAAAGAGCGAACTTACCTGAGGAAAAAGTAAAGAAAGAAAAAGGCTTAGCTCCTATGGAAACGCAGCGACGCCATCGGTCTTCAAACAACACGGCGCCGTTTTGCACAATTTTTTATAATAAAGGAACGTGAAAATGCAAAATCTAAGTTCATAGTAAGTGGCTCTATAAAATTTGAGCATATCAGCCGCAAATATTAAGTCTTGATAATTTCATACTGAAACTATAGTTCTATTAAGGTGGGATTGATGCCAAGAAGTGGATTGGAGAAGAGTGCATTCAAAGTGCTGAAACCTCTACCTTTTGTTTTTAGCATTAGTGGACTAAAAATAGTTTATAAAAAAAAAAAAAAAAAAAAAAAACTATGCACTGTTAACAAATGAAGCTTTCTGGGAGTACTCTCTAGATGTTGGCAGATGTAAATAGGACATTTTTCAAAATCAACTTACCATATTTATTCGAATATAAGGTGGTCACGATTATAAGGCGAGGGGGTAGTTGAAGGACCCAAGAAAAAGGAAAAAGAAAGTCATATTGCTATACTGAGCTTCGAATATAAGGCGGGGTATGACTTTGAGATTACGGATTTTGGAAAAAAACCTCGCCTTATATTCGTATAAATACGATATTTTGCAGAAATGTTTTTTTTTTTTGGTCGTGTCCCCCCTTAAACAGTGTGTTAATCTAGTTTGAGTCAAAAGAGAGTAGAGTAACCGTGTATTTGTTTAGACATCGAGAAATGTGTAAAAAAATATGAAGGGGTACTAGATAATTCTGCAATGCCTTTCTGCATGTACCAAACAACAAAATAACTTCGCAACACGTGAAAACTGGTCACACAGATATGCCTACATCATAACTTTCTGTGCGTATTTTCAGGGGCATCAAAAACTCGCATTGAGCTGCCTGTCCTTTCACTCTTTTTTATTTAAAGGTATGGCAGGTGATGAGGGCTCTGTACAGTAAAGAGTGAACATAATATAGATTTTTAATGTTTTTGTAGGCTCTCGCTTTAAAATTGGGCATTGCTTTTTTGATCGATGATGCTTCAGAATGAAAACAAAATGGTTTGCTTTGCTCATCATCTTCCAGACTTTGAGATTGGAAGGCAGATTGCAGAGCTGACATCCGGACAGACTATTGTGAACATGACGATGGGATTTGATGCCATCAAGAGGTAAGGAACCCATTATGGTGGGCACGTTTGGCTGAGCGCCAAGCAGCTTTTTCCGGGAAAACTTGCGCTGCTCTGCATGCAACAAGTTTGGTTTCACTTTCGCTGTATCACGCATGTGACCTTGACAACTAGAGATGCCAAGAACCTGCCGAGATTTAAGTTAGACCGGTTGCAACTTTTTCTCTAACGTCTAACACGAAGTTCGACATGAGTTCAACCATTGTGCGCATGTGCAAAAGTTTAAGGGGGGACATGGCCTGGGGAGGGTCAACTTTTGAAGCGTTCCCTTAAATTGATTCAAACTTTCAGGGTGAATTGAACCCCATTAGGATTGATGACATCCAATGTTTCAGTCTTGTGGGCCAATTCTACAACACACAATGCTTAAAAAGCTCCAGAAAAAAGTGACCTCTGTAGGAAATGTATTTAAAAATATAATAATTGCAATCCACAAAACGTTTGTTGAATACCAATAGTGCAAGTTAAGGCAAAAATTAATTGTAGAAAATGCAATTCTAAAGAAAAAATGACCGCATCTCCACGTGGTGAATGATGTTGATTGGGGCGAAGCTTTGGTGGTGCTGATGATACTGATTTTGCTCATAGGTAGTGCTGATGGTGCTGATATATTTTTATTGCTCATAGGTAGTGCTGAGTTCCGGGTTGCGTTGGTATAGAATGTGTAGTATGGAACGTGGTTATATGCGCATTTGAGCATTTGACCGCAGCGCCCTCTCGTCTATAAACGTTGAGCCAATGCATGCAAAGTTGTACGCGATTATATACGCATTTGACCACAGCGCCCTCTCCTGTATAGACGTTGAGCGGCTACATGCAACATTTCATCCATGACATCCCCAGCTCTTGATTTACTACCACATCTCAGAGCTCCCTACTCATCCCGCAGTCGTGGCCGAGTGGTTAAGGCGATGGACTAGAAATCCCATTGGGGTCTCCCCCCACACGTTCAAATCCTGTCGACTGCTCAAACATTTTTTCTTTTTTTAAGAAGACGGATGGGATGGCAATCGATGTGAGCATGGATGCCGGACGGACAAGGCTAGGCCCTAAGGAGCTTCGCCCCAAGAACAATAACACCCAAAAAGTGCAAAAGATTTTAACAAATTTCTGTGTTTTAAAATATTCATTTTTTGTCATAAAGAGGTTAGGTTTTTCAGAATATGAGTACCTTAACATGTTCCTCAGGAAATTTCAGTCCAGGACACCACCGATTGAAATCTTTACACTTTCAAAACATCCAATGATACATTTCCTCATACCACATTTCCTGCCCAAAAGTGGAACTGAGAAAAAGGCATTTGAAGTTTCAACTTTTGGTTTCTTTGTTTCCTATGAGTCCGAGGTAGGCAAAATTCACCTGGGGCATTGTTAGCACCTTCCTCTTTGAGACTTCATTGTTTCCTTGGCAATAGCTACCAGGGCCGGTTTTCTCGAAGCGATGGTAAACCCATTTTGGTAAACCACGGTGCCTAGGAAGGGAAAAGTACCTAGGTAGTGTAATAAACGGCTGGATATAGAACAACAATAATTATTTTTGATTGGGCAATAAGATGCGCCATCTATCGGTGAAACAAGCCAGTCATTTTCTGTATCCTCTTTCCCCACTGTTTGTCATCGATCTAGTATGGTATTTTAAGTCAAAATATAGTAATGTTGTACTTGAAGACCAATTTATTTGCTTCCGATGGTACGAAGAAATTTTAGCTACTATGCTAGAGTTTGTCGACGAATATTCGAAAATGTAAGAAACATTTCCTTCAATATGTTTCCCCATAAACAACGTATAACTTTCCCGTGTTTCTTTCAGTGTGGCAACGCCGATGCTGTAGTCTCGTTTTCGTTCCTTGTGACGCACGTTTCTGCGATTCCTGCTGATCTCAGCTGTTTGCCCTCTCTTCCGTTTGGCCAACCAATTCACCAGTGACAAGAAGCTAAGCTTTTCGTCACCGTTGAATTGCTGGCCACAGGGGATATGTAGAAACCTCGATGCTGTCGGCATACTGTCGGCGCACTGTGAACAAAAAAAACAATACAATGTCTCAGCTGTTCACCCGGAACGAAGACTTTATTGAGGATAACCCTCTTTCTCCGCAAAGTAATCGCTGCTCACGAGTTGGCGTGCATAGTGTAACAAATTAAACGTCTTAGTATAAATATGTACCAACACTCGTTTTCAAAACATTTCTTTACTCACCATAAAAACACTTGCAAGGCTTATGTACCGTCATATGTCTTGGATCCTGGACTGCTGAAGAGTGAATGCTGCCGTCGGTTAGTTTAGTAGTCCCTCTGAACTATCGCTTTGCTTGACGTGGTAATAGGTTGATGGTGAGTCATTAATATAACAGCCAGATCGAAAGGAATGTTCAGCAGAACCAAGCAGAACTATTAGCCCTCATTAAGTGACGCCGCGGCCATTTTGCTTCTAGGTACTGCTCCTCCATCGGCGCCCCTGCTCTCCCAGTCACGTGACGTGGAATTCCCCCTTCTAGGGACAATAGCTAACTTTGAACCACGGTTCGCGTTCGAGAAAACGGGCCCAGTTTGTGTCAATTGTAGGCAAGCTAACTTTTGTAGCAGCCACTCCCTGACAGATAAACTGGCAAAAACTAAGAGGGAAATCATACTAAGGAAGAGCAGCAAAGCAGGAATAGGATCTGAGGTGGAAGATTCTGTCCAAGGCTGTTACTGAAGATGACACAATGTCACGTCACTGGGCAGGAGCGATCGTAAGCCCTGCTTCATCGCCACCAATAAGATTGCTCATACCAAATTTTTCTGGATTTTATTCTGTTTGGATGTAAAGGGTTCTCCTGGCCATTGATGCATTTAAACTTTGAAAGCTTCTATGGGCTAAATCTAGAGTAATTGGCACTTCCGATGAGGGTAAGATGTCCTGGCTATGTTAAACGAGTATGAAGGAGCAGTAAATAAAAAACGCAGAAAACTTGCTCCCTGCTGACTCGGAGGGCTGCCGACATGTCGGAAATAATTTATTGTGAGATAAATCATGCATGTTTTTAAGTAAAATTTTCTGAAAGCATTCTTTGGAAGTTAATAAACATAAACATTACCTTTTGAAAAAAACATTTTTTCAGAAAATTATTAATTCTGAGGCCATGTACCCCCTTAAAGGGCTCATGAAACGCTTTTCTAACTTTTTCCTGTTTCGCTTTCCTCCTCAACTCATAAATCGCGCATTCCACCAAACAGTTCAAGGAGACGAAAAGAGGGGAGGCCCCTCTTGCTCGGAATCTGGTTTGCGTACCCGGACAGATTCATTGTCCCCCTAAAAGATTAGCCCGTCGCTCAAAATTCAGACAAAAGTTGCTTTCCCTAACCCGTTCACCCCGAAGCTGACAGTGCTGTGGGAGCTACGTGCTCGTTGGGCCAGCCACACTTTTGCCACGTGATCACGCTCCTTCGTGCATACCCACGCGCAGAGAATGAGGTCAGGCGATGAAAGGGAGGCGGCTGATAGGTCCGGCAAGCGCCTATCTTCCACTACAATGTCAGCTTGGGGGTGAAGGGATTAAGTGAGGTCCAGTTTCGTGTGACGTGTGTTTGGATCCGATAACGCGCTTTAGGTACTGCGGATGTATCAGAGTGAAAAGGCAGAGAGCTTACGAAGGGAAGGAGGTACGAAATGGTCCGCTGTGTTTTCAAATTTTCGCACTGAAAGTCAGGCTTTTGACTTTCTACCTTTTACTTTTTGGCCCACTGAACGACTTGCTATTAGTAAAATACCAATCTAAAGTGATTTATACCAACCCAAAATTTGTTTCATGGGCCCTTTAATATAAGCTGATGCCGCCTGAAAAGGGAAAAGTGCAATGTTTGTTGGGTTTATGCGGTTTTATGGCCCGTTCGCACACTTGCGTTTGACTACAATCGAATGAGACAGGACCTGTTTTTAAGGGGGGGGGGGGCACTACCCAAAAGAGTGAATGTTTAAACCACTTGTCTGATTTAAATAACATCTACAGGGCTTATTTCTGTTGATGTTGAGAACATTTGTGTAAAATTTTGTTAATCTGGGTGAAGTCCAAAAAAAAAAATTGCAAATGTTCAAAGATGAGAGTGGGCGTGTCTGCGTAGGAAAACTATCATTTTGAAATCGCTTATAAATTTGTCATTTTCATGTCTTATATTGCTTTAGGACAGTTCAGAGCAGATAGCTATGGAGCTATATTTCTTTATTGTACCATCTTTCATGACAAAAAAGCCACATAATCACAAATATTGTTTTTTTAGATTTCCATCTTTTGTCCAAAATTTTAGCTTTTGAGCATGAAAAATGACAAAAGTTAGAAATACAAGCTCATAGCTATCTTCCCCTTAAAATTTCACCCCAGAAAAACTCATAAAAATTAATTCAAGTTACGTAATAACAAAACTAGAGTTTTCCTAAAGTGAAATCTATGCTAAAAGTGGAATGGAGAAAATTGCGTTCAAGGTGCTCCGACCTCTACCTTTTCTTTAGCATCGGTGGACCGAAAATAGTTTATAAAAAATTAACTATGCAGTGTAAACTAATGAAACTTTCTGGGAATACTCTCTAGATGTTGGTGGATGTAAATCTGACAGTTTACAAAATCAACCTTTTTTGCCAGAAATTGTTTTTTCTGGGTAGTACCCCCCCTAAGCCTTTTGCAACGGCTTATGACCGGCTGCGAGGTAATGCAGCCGGCCGTAATCAATTACAAGAGGCTTAAATGTTAAAAGAATTTGCAGTTTGTATTTTTTATATTGTTCATCTATGCACAGTGACAAAAAAACAGGCCACCTTGCTTCAGAAAAACTGCTATTCTGCTGCGCAGTCGTGAAGGAAAAAACTATTACGGTCTAAGCTCATTACAACAGACCTGGTTACAACAGACATCTGGATATAACATAGTGATTTGTGAAGTTCAATTGGTTTTCCTCTACATACCATTGACTCAACTTCATATGTGCATACAAGATATTCCTCTTACAAC